AAGAAATCAAGAATACAGAAATGTAATTTTCTTCAAAACCTGTAAAAGATACTTCAGCTAATTTTCCGGAAGTGAATCTAAACAATGAAATAAATTTCTAGAATAAAGAGAAAACTGAAAGTAAACTAAGGTTAATGATAATATTTCTTAAACACAACAATCATAGGTTGGCAAACAGCTGACTTACTGATTAAGAACACACAGTCTAAATCCTCAGTATGAAGTTCAAAACCCAGCTCTGGCTCTGCAAAGTCACTTACTTCTCCACACATCAAACTGGGCAGAATCCCACTACCTACATGGTGGTGACAGTCAAGTTGTTTATATAATAAAAAGGCTCATTATGTATATAATAAATAATGTCCATCATATAGTAAATCTTAGACATTAACTATAGCTGTATCACTATGATCAGGAAAATTATCATTGTTGACCCAATTATAATTCTGAGAAGCATCTAAAAATGGCAGTTATTTTATTATTACATGTTCCCGGTATGTTACATTCTTGTGGGGAGTTGGTACATGTATATAACACATTTTAATTCTTTTGTCATTCTTTTTCTCTCTCTTTTTTCCCTCCTCCCTCAACTCTTTGTCCCCTTCCCTTTTGCAAAACATTTCTGTTCCTGTTCCTATTAGCTTTTAATTTGTTCTATAATGTACTTTTTATTTCTCATATAAGAGAAATCAAATGTATTTGAGTCTGTGTCTTAGTTCACCTAAAATTATGGTCTCAGGGTACATCCATTTTCCTGCAAATGGGTCCAGTTTATCCTTCTTTGTGGCATAGTAGTGCTTCATTGTGTGTAAGAAACAAATCTTCTTTGTCCAGTCATCTGTTGAAAGACACATAGGCCACTTCCAAGACTCAGCTATTGTAAGTTCTGTTGTTATCACTATGGGTGTGTATGTATTGCTGTAATATGATGTCTTTAACTCTTTCAAGAAAAAGTAGCAATGTAGTACAGCCAAGAAGAAATGACTAGTTGACTTCCTTGGTGAGACTATTATGGCAGTTTATCCAAAGTCAAAGGGTTGATTCTTCTGTGAGCCTGACAGATAGATTCCAGGGCCACGGTTTACTCAGTGAAAGAAGGGTTTGGCAATGTGACTGATGAGGAAATGTAAACTGATCAGTCCAAATTCATGACTAACATTAGAGAAAATAAACCTATAAATACATTTGATGGCTTTTTGATATTGTAAATTCTGTGACTGTAAAAAATTCATTTCTAAAAGATAATCTGGAGCCAGATCTTTCATTTTTATAGGAAAAAAAGGCTCAGAAATAAATCATTGAATAAATAAGACCATGTGATTGCTGCATGGCCAAGCAAGAACCCTTGGCCCCTGCCTTATTTTGCTTTGTTTTGATTTTCCATTATCCCACGCTTATTAATTATAGCATAAATGTGTTATTATTTCTGAGAATTTCCTTTTTAAAATTCTGGCTTTTCATCATTACAGTTTATTATTCTAGTATGGACATTTTTCAACTGACAATGCTTCAATTTTTAAATTTATTTTAAACTTTATGATGTTGAAAGGTGACATATTCATTAGGAACTATACATGGAATTTAAGTTTTGATCTTTTAAGGCTAGCAGTATGTGGTACAATAATTCTCTCAGTTAGCCACATTATGCCAAGGTAAGAAATCAAAACTGTGTTATAAGTTTACCATATTTGATACGTTAGGTATATTCAGTGAATTTTTGATTAAATGATATTTTCAACTTACGATAGGTTTATTAGGAGACAACCATAATTTTAAGTCAAGGAGTGTTTGTTTAAGAACCTCAGTCCCAACGACAGACTATGTGACCTTTCCAAGCACTATGTTATTAAAGAAATTGGAAATCATTTAAGACATTGAGCATGAAAGGTAGGGAGTAATGTTATCCATCTTAAATTTTTAATAGATAATTTGCCTTTAAAGTTAAGAACAGATGGATAGATGGGGTAAAAGTCAATTAGGTAATTATTGCAATAGGTAAAGTAAGAGAGAATCCTGGGTTAGACTACATTGGAGTAGTACAAATGGTAATAGCTGTCAAAGTCTGGGTATATTTTCATGGTAGTGATAGCAAACATTCTTAATACATGGGAAAATAGGAGTTATAAAAAGAGGTCAAGTCTTCATTAAAGAAACTATAATTATTTTTAATGAAATATCTCCTACTACAATACATACAAGGACTTATCTTCATCTGTATGAATAGACAGCCATCACTACCTACTTACTGTCTTCTTGTAAATCTGGCATCACTAAGAAGCACAGCATAGAAAATAAACGATGACACTTGACCTCAAAGGAGTTTGCCATTTGGAAGAGAAAATGTATTTGACAGGGAGCTGAAAGTTGCAATTTGAGGTTAAACTGGAACCACTCTGGACATCTCCTGAAAGGAGTGAGCCAATCGCATGAAATGACCATTAGTATGAATGGCAAAGCAGAATTGAAGATAGAATTCATCCTCCCCAGAAGAGAGCAGGAGACAAAGAAAACGGAAGTCTAATTCTAAATGTGTAGTGTTGCCACTTGGCTTGGTCCCAGCTCAGCTCCCTGTGGACTCTTACCTGGGTCACAGAGAAGTAAAACTAAACTGTGAACAACAGCAACAAAATACCATGAAAAGGATGCTCTCTTCAAAATCCTTTAAGATATGGAAATACTGTAAAAGCCAATACTTTTTTAGAATTTCATGGAAAATATCTCAGGAAGACAGAGAGATGGTCCTTTACCTTGGCACAGAATATGGTACAGCTTTGGCATGGCGAGGATTTCATGCTTCAGTAATTGTAACCATTGGTACAGGGATCTGTGTTCTCAGACAAAAGATCCCTAGGATTGTTCCTAGTACCCAGCAGGTGTGGAGGAGACATGAATTTAAAATATAGGAATCATAGGTAGCAATCTCTTTATGAATAAGCACATGTGAGAATCTCAGAAATATGTCTGTCAGTTTGGTTACCTTGTATTATTAGGTAAAAAAGAGCCATATTATCATCCTTGCCTGGCTTTTAAATAATGAAATTAGAATAAATTCTTTACACTCCAATAACTCAGCAGCAATTTGTATAATTATATTTCATAATTAGGCAATCTATATACCCCAAAGCCCACATATTTATCACATCTGCTCAAAGTCTCCAGGTCTGAGGTATACAGCCTCATAGGAGTTTAAGAAGGATAAATTCTTCCAAATAAAGTATTGTTTTCAAAGCGATAAACGTAAGATTTTTTAAGCAAGCAACCTTCAAAAAGCAGTCACTTTATAAAAGCAATCAAAAGGACAGAATATCTGTGTACCATCTGTCCTAGCACATATATTAAGAACAGTATTCCAAGTAATGCTTTAACAATGCTGCTTACATCCTTTTCACTCCTTAAAGAAATATCACTCCTTCTTTAAATACTCCTTCTTAAGGACTGGTCTTCTTCTGAATATTTTAAAATGGCCTCATATAACTGTTTCATGTAGAAGAGAAGCCAAAATGACTCTGGATACATGTATGTCAATCTCACCCAAATTCAAAAATTTTATTAATCTTGAATTATAGATTGACCTTGTTGCCACACCTCTGCATTCCTGGAGAGCATCTCCTTTTTTTTATTTATTTGTTTTTATTTCTATCCTACTTTCTACTCAAAATCTTTGACCTATTTTATGCCTCTAATTCGAGGTGATGATATTAGTCTTCCTGCCACTGTGGTGGTTTGTGTCGAGGTGTCCCCCCAAGGCTTCATGTGGATATAGGGCTTTTTCAGAAGTAGCTGAATCTATGGAGTGTGTGATTCTGGGATTTAATCAATGTACTGATTGCTTTGGAACCACCCAAATCCAGGTTGTCTGGATAAAATAAAGGGGCAGAAAGACACTGCTAACATCTCTGGTTGCTTTTTCTGTCTTCCATTGATAGGCAAGTTTGCCCTTCTACCAAGCCACCCTGCCTTGAAGCCAGTAGATTATGGAATCCTCTACAAACTGAGTGCTAACTAAACCTTTCTGACTTTAACTTTAGGTGTTAAGTATTTTGTCACAGCAATGAGAGAAAACTGAGACAACCACCATAGCCCTCATTACAAGCGCAGGAAAGAAGAGAAGGCCCATTGAGAATGCCACAGTATACTACACAGCTTCCCACAAAGAGGGTGCATTGTGGAGGGTCTTCAGACAATTCATCATGAGAGGAGATGAGAGGGGGCACTGGGATCTGAAGGTCAGTGTGGGAGTGTGGAGGCTCAGTAGCGCTCTCATGCAAACAAATTCAGTGGGGTTCTTGTAAAAACTGAGCAGTTCTTTCATGCAATATTAGAAGGTGGAAAGTATGCAAGATGCCCCTTAGGTCAAAAACCCATGACAAATAACATGGTACTGAAAAGCTTTTCCCAGATAAGTACATGCTATCTAGAAAGACAGCAGGATTTAAGAACCCGCCACTATAAAAACCACATGCTGAAATCTGCACAGTGAGCTTGTCCAGGACTGTGACAGGAGATTATGCCATCAGATACCAAAGTCTGTCTTCTCGGGCACTTGGCCAACTAGCTGAATTTCACATCTTAACATAGATTCACCATTTTCACTGCTGCCCCATCCACCCACCAATGTCCACTAAGATTTCTGTGCTGGAGAAATACGAAGACATGAGCCTTCTCTTGGGAGGTGGGGGAAGTAGAGGCAAAGGATCCTTCACCAGAATAAAACCTCTCCTGCAAACAACTTCCCATCTTTTTTTCTGAAAATCTCATCAGCTGGCTGTCACTGGTGCTGCTCTAATCTGTCCCGCAGGAAGCTGCCAGTCTCCCCAACTCTCCATGAACCCCACAAGCAATGCTCGACCCAGCACTGTGCGTCTAGCCCATTTTGGAATCCAAAAATTCTGGTTTTATGTAAAGCAATCATACAGGTGTAAGAAAAGGAGAGGAAAGGAGGTAGACGGAGACAGAGATAGTGTGTCAGAGAGAGAGAGAGAGAGAGAGAGAGAATTTACCTGCCGATGAGCGAGAACTCGCCCACCACGCCGAGGCGCCGCATGGCACTCAGGAGCCCCCGCACCGTCATGCCCTCGCAGAAGCACACCACCACCCTGGCCTTGGGAAGCCGCTCCCGGAGCTTGCGCAGGAGGCGGTCGAAGCTCTTCTCCCCAGCATTGCTGTAGATTTTGTCCGAGTGGGCGATGCAGAGGCCTTCCTGGGCAGCCAGCTCTTTGAAGGCGTCCATTCCACTCTCCCCATAATTCCCTGTACAGAAACAACCAGCAGAGGTTCAAGGCCACTGTACCAGGGACAGCAACTGCAATAAGGGCTTCTTAGCTGCTGGAAACATGGAAGACAAGTTTGCTAAATAATTTGTAAGTATAGCTAGGACTGAAGGCTGCTGTGGGTGGACTCAAGGGTGAACCATATACCCAGATAATTTATAAAGTAGTAATGAGACACGTCGCTATGGTGTCCACAGTGAGAGGTTTTGGGCGATTTATGAGTGCCATCGTATCTATATGATGAATAGTCGGTCCCAGATTGTCATGGGGAATCAGAACAGTGGTCTCAGCTGGCAGCAGGCTCAGTGAAGACATTCCTGGGGTGGCACTCCTGCCACGTCTGCATGAAAAGCCTGTGTGCCAAGCAGACTGAACACTGGGCAGGCCAGAAATGAGCTGACCACGAACAGCCATCAGGGTGCATCCAAGTCTACCGTTCTCTGTTTAAATGATAGTAGAATGGGCACTTGGTGCCTTGTAGTTTGATTTCTGTGTTGATCATTCTTATTATAAAATGCAGCTCAGAAATAGAAAGATTTGTAGTAATCAATGAAAAAAATACCACATGACTATGTCTCCATCGCTTTGTTTCATTGATGGCTTTAGTCCCACCTTAGCCTCTACGTTCTTACCTTCTTCCTAGTCTGGGGACTGTGGTACACACATGGGTGACACATTCCGTACCTGTCCTCATGGTCGGTTCCTCAGCTTCTTCCCTCCAGTGACATCTTGCGGTTCACCTTTCCCATGATCATGTTTTGACCTTGCTTTGACAGCTTTTTTAGTATCTCTAAATGTGGATGTCAGACATCCCAATCTCTGTGTGCTTCTGTTATCATTCTAGCTTATATATTCTATTACTCTATCACAGAATTTCTTCAACCTCTTAAAAATTTAAAATCAGGTAACTGCCTTCCAATTCTCCTTCCATCCTTCCTCGGATTTCTCTTAGCCTCACAGCACAGCTGCATTATCATTTCTCTGCAAATGCTTAATTCTCTTGCGTTTTCCTGACAAAATCCTAATGCTAGTTAAACCCCACCGGCTACTTATTCCACATCTGTAACTCAGTATTTAATCATGACGGAAATAAACTCGTAACCTTGCTGACTGGTTTTATTAATATTCAAATACTAAAAGACATAGTCAGTAGTACAAGAAAACTCTACTGCATTACCCTTGTAAATAAAATTCCTTAGTTTCTAACATGATCATTTTATCTTATTCTTCTCTTTTCAGATCTTCAAACTACTGGCTCCTTTTTCATTTTACCTCAACTGAGAGTCTCATTTCCTCTTTCAGTAAGAACACAGGAGGAAACAAAAACAGACTACAATATCTCTGAATCACTTCTCATTGGCAGTTAAATCCGCTGGCATCCTTCCTATTGCAAATGTGAAGGGCTTAAGGAAGGAGCCAACCTTTGCTCAAGGACATAGATCCCATCACTGCTTTTCTGTTCTGGAATTATTTCCTGGAATTGTTCCCTCTGTCTTGCATAATCAATTTATCACCCATAGTGGTGGCAATTTTTTTTAAGTGCTCGGACTTATTGGCCTACTTGTGTTATTGTGTCATTCCCTACTCACTCTCCCAGCAGCAGCAGTTGCCCGCATCAGTATATTTGCTTCTTGGTTCCCATTGCTCTTTTTTTTGTATTGTTAAAATTGAAGTGTAGATTTAGTGTGTAAAAATTTGCATACATTTGAAGTATAATCTTAAAGAGTTTGAACACATGTATAATCATTATATCAGAATCTTCCTTAGTCAAAATCTTCCATTTTCAAGGTCACTAATACTCTCCCTTTTGCCATATCCCAGATCTGTTCTTTTGTCTGCATTTTCAACATTTCATTACATTCAAAATCACATTATCCTTGAAACAGTTTATTTCCTTGTTTCCTAAGACACCCTTTCGGTTTCCACACTACTTTCTGACCACTCCTCTGTATATTTGCTACATTTTCTTTCTCTGTACAACATCTAAATATTGTCATGCAAGAATGCAATTCTGGAAAACTTTCTCTAAATTCTCACCCCATTCTGTCAACTTCTCATTCTGTCAACTAAATACTATGCTGAGTCCCTTATACAGTAACAAAATTACTTTGAGTTAAAGAGCAGAAACCTGATCTAACATAATGCTAACAACATATGACATTAGTATTATAATTTTAAACCAAAAAGCTAGGACAGTTTATACTGGTATGGCATAAACTCATGCTAACACTGAATATTATCATTAAAATGCACAGGTAATTAAATGACTGGCTGAGTGTATGCATGTGTGTGTGTTTGTGGGTACTTTTAATGAACTTTTTGCTAGATACAGCCTTCCTGGTTTTGATTGTTTATCAAACCTCAGAAGTACTGTGACAGGGGCTGTCTCTGTGTACTTGCTCCCTATATGGGAAAATAGCAATGGAAGAATGATGGTTTTTGCAAGAATAATGATCTCTTGTTAAATTTTTATGCTGCTTATGTGTTGTTTTCTCTTAAGTTTTTTCTCTATGTTGTAAAGAACTCAAGTTAGAGAATCAACAAACTAGATCATTTCATGAAGTTCTAATATGAATTCAGTGAGTACACTTGTAATTTAAATAAAAACTCAATGAAAGTCTCACTATAGATAAAAGTAGACTTTAAATACATTCTTAAAATGAAATAACCATCCAAGGAGAACTTTGTGTATCACAGAAAAACAAAACGGAGGAGCAACGTGGCACGAGGAGACTAAAAATGGAGAAAAAAGCACTGCAGTTATAGAAATCATCACAACCTTGTGTTTTATAAATAGGAAGCTTGGAAATAAAGAATTTTAAAGCTCTTAGGTCAATGCCAAAAGTCGTATGTTTAGTTTTAGATTCTACAACTCTCAAGAGACATGGAGAGTACTCCCTGCACTTTTTTCTAAGCTCTGGGAAATTTACATTCATTCTCACATGTGATTTAATAATCACAAATCTTTGAGATGCATTTCTTGACCTTCACTTTATACAAGAGGCAACCACGGCCTCCAAGAGAAATACTTTAAGGCTGTCTCCTTACCGAGGAGGATTCAGGATCTGCTCCTACCTTTCAGTCAGTCGAGGAATAGCTGAAGGAACAATGACATGGAAGGACAAGTGTCACTTGACCTCAGTCCCATTGGATGAAGCAATCAGCCATTTTATGGGGATTCCCTGATTTCGGTGCTATAGCTGAGCGCTTCTAAACTGGTGTTGTTCAAGATGAGACTGGGAAGGTGCTGGTTAAGTTGTTCTTTTTTGTTCTCTGTAACTGCAATGTGTCTCAGTTCCATCCTGATCTTGTTTATAAGTTTCCTTACATACGACTACCTGAGACCCCAAAGGCATGATTCACTCACCTTTGACTAGCCAGACCCACAATGATGACAATGTTAAAGGACTCAATAGGTGTTCGGAGGGAAATAGAAGAATAACATTTCTAGGCATTAAATGGGATGGCCAAATAAATAAAGGTTGTCAGGAAGATTAAAGTAGTAAGTGTTTTTTCTCTGCTAAGAAAAGGGAACGCTAAACAGTGACGCCCAGCAGTCCACATCTCCTCCTACCCCACACATTTCAAACAGCTCATATCTCTTTCAACTGAGAATGGGGAAGGAATAATTTTAGGATTTCTCACAAGGAATTTAGTAAAAAGGAAGAAATTTTCAGTAATAATAAACTGTGAATAGCAAGTTTCTGGAACATACTGTGGAAATTTTTTATCAAAATACTTTTAAAATGATATGTTATCCTATTTGTCCAGCATGTCTCAGGTAATCAATTGATAAAAATCATATGCGACCCAGGAGACCAGATCAGGAAACAATTCACCTTCAGGGCATCCTGGGACTGCGTGAAATAGGAAGCACCCAAGGGTGTGTAGGGTTCTAGGGGTAGTGTTTTTTTCCCAAGTAAAGTATCTGTTTCTTTAGGAAATGAAGAAACATCTAAATAGTTTCCCTTCATCAATGTTTCTTCTCCTACAGCTGATGTGCAAGTATGTAGGGATGAGTAATGGTGAGTATACTTGCTTGACAAAAGCAGTTTATGAGCACACACACACACACACACACACAGCATTTGATCTAGGTTTCCACCTGATGGTTGATGTGTTACTTGAGCCACCAAATGAAGCTCAGCTTCCTTCTTAAACACCTTTACATGCTCAGTGTTTCAGGAATAGAAATAAAAATCAATATAGGACCTAATTTTCAGTGCCTTCTTTTTGCCATGGTGGCCTTTCATACAGGTGAGTATGAAATTTAACACAATATTGTTTCAAGGCTTGCTTATCAGTCATACTTGGCTATCAAGTCACTGTAATGAAAGTCTTTTAATTAGTTGAAACACTGCTCTATCTGACTGCTTCAAAAATCATACAAAATTCAGATTGTAGCAATTATTTTTCCCTTCTTGAGATGATTTTGCATTTTACCCTCATTTTTAGTGCCTTTCTGAATATTGCCCTTTGGTAAAAAAAATTTAAAAAAATAAATAAAAACCATTTTCCACATCCATTTTTAAAATTATGCTTGTTATTATTCAAATAATAGGTACTTGTCTATAAATCCTATGTTCTTCCTTATAAATATCCCTGTGCATTCTGTTTAGATGCCTGATTATATAGCATATCTTGATTTGTTTTTAACGTATTTTTATCATAGAACTCAGATAGAAATTGAAATTACTGTACCATACTAAGTTTTCTATGTTGTGAGGTTTGCCAGATGCTCCTCTTCTCTTCCTCTCTTACTCTCTAGGTTTGAGGCAACATCATCACAGGAATAAAGTCTGTTATAAAATCTGTTACGTCCCAGCACTGTATAGCGCTGTTCTGTGTTTCTGTCTGGACGCTGTGTGCCAGTTGCGTTGCTGGAGGTTGTCATACAGAGTGTCATCCTGTACACCATGAACCTTCTGCTCTAGTAGGACTTCTCTATTCTTGCCTCTAAAAATACTTTTTGTTATGCTC